TTGTATGAAAAGTTATGTTCTTTTCCTTTTGTTCTGTTGATCCTATGTTGGTCCATAGATTTTTTTTTTATTTGTCTAGGAAAACTTGTTGAGACCGGTTCCATGGACTCGCCCAAGAACCGGACCGGACCGGACCGGCGGTCCGGTTCTCGGGCGGGTCCATGGAACCGACGGGCGGTTCTCGGTTCCAATTTTTGGAACCGGTCCTGTAGCGGGCGGTCCACGGTTCCGGGGTGGGAACCGCCCACCCGGACCATGCACACCCCTGCCACTAATCACATCACTTATCGATTACTCAATGCGTTCCATGTAATATTGACTGATCATCTGCATATTTGTGCAATTATGTGGGTAGGACAAGTAGCTGGGGCAAGAAAAACCACAGACAGAGAGAAAACGTGGCTCTGCAAGCAGAAATTCCTACAAGACACTCATCGGGATTGTTTACCATTTATTTTCATTTTCCCCCTGCAGAAGAATTACACAATGTGAAGTTAAGAGATAATTACCTGACGAGAAATTTTATACACACACACATATGAAAGGAGGAGGATGGTGGTACAGGAATTATACACTTAGATCTCCGACGCCCATGTGCATCACTGATAATCCGACACCTCTAGACCCGCATTTCTATTGCTATGTCGACGAGCACGGTCCGTTGCTAAGGTAGATTTCTCTCTCTCCCACTGTGGGCAAGTTTGAAGAATAAATGCGTCGTCAAGACTACTGTTTCTGCTTGTTACAACACCTATTGCTCCTGCAAACGAGGAAATTTTCCAGAGTGTAAGAAGACCTTTTCCTGTCCACTAAAACAAATGCACCACGTTGAATCTTTTTACCTCGGGAGGATTCAGCAACTGTGCGCCAGGATTGGCTTCGGCTGGAGCCTCAGAGATTCTTGCCTCTGATTTTTCATTTGAATAGCTACAAAGAGAGAAGCAAACACATATTAGTATAGAACCAGAGTAATATATAAGCAGCAATAGGGCAATGACCTAGGCGGTAAAGTTCCGACAAGTCTTGCTTAAGTGTCACAACTGAGCAAAAGACAATGACCATTCAAGCAAATTGGCAATGCAGATTCATGCTCTTCAAACCAAACTTACAATGAAGAACAATTTCACTCGTGCTACAGGCATGTCTCCCAATCAGATCCACGTGTTTAAGCTATAAAATAGAGCACTACTTCTAATACTACATTCTATGCAGCGTCCTGATTTACAAACTAGAAAATTCTTATCACAGATCCAGCATCAATTGAGACAGAGTCTATATAATTAAAACTCACGTTGAGAGGATTGTCACCCATATGAGCTCAACACAGTCCACCCAAAGAAGCCTTTGTTCCACTGGGACCGCCCCGTAGGTAATCAGATGAGCAAATGGCCAAAGCTTCCATCCAGCCTGCGAAGAAAAGCCATGAAACAAGTAAGCGTACTGGGCAAGGTACAACAGCTGTGGGTGTCGGTTAAGGAAATTCGGTTATAGCTCAGATTGCTGATGAAAAAAAAAATGACTGTAAGCAGACAAGCTTTTCTCATTAAATCAAGGAATAAGAAAATGTCTCTGTTTTCCTTTTCTAGAACTTCAACTGTTTATTTGGATCTTTGATCAGTTCACTAGATGAAAAAGACAGTAGCTTGACTCTAGCAAATTAAAAGATTCATTCTCTCAAGTGTTCAACTCCTCTCAGCAGAATGAAAGCAGAATGAGAGTAGGTTGGATCAGATTCATCTTCCTACAACTGTGCCACCAACTTGAGGAAAATAGAATGACAAAACATGGATAGGATTACTCACTGTTAGCATAGGCCAGAAAGTTGCTTTCAGTTCAGTAAAGATGCTGATTGGGGACTCTAGACGTAAGAAACCCAAAACAGTGTAATATATGCTGTTCCAAATCGCTGCCCACACTGTTTGATCAAACGCTACTTTGACAGGTACCACCCACCAGTCTTGGAAAGGAAAGAGCTCCTGTAGAATAAAAGAGTGGACCTCACGCGACAGTGGAAAGAAATGCTCTTTGAATGTAAAATGGGAAAGTTTCAATTACCTCGCAGAATTCATAGTAATAGTGAGAAAGAGACCCATGAAGTGTGAATCCAACGAGGCCCGATCTGAACATCCGTGCTCTATCAAACTCAAAGAGTGGTTTTCCTTCAAAGCACTGCAAAAGTTACGAGTCAGCAATTGTTGAATGAAGCCTGATATCCTGAAGCTTGAAACTCTCAAATTTGTCTGATAGCAACAAACCTGTGCGATCCAGTCCCCAAGGGAGTATACCACTCCACTAATGACCATCTTGGCTAAAACAGGGTTTGCCTTAAGAGCTTCCTCGTAAGCACTCCAGTTGTGTAGAGGTGCATACTGCAGTATCTCATATATGGTCCATCCCTAGAAGAACACCAAAAGCGATTCAACAAAACGTATCATCGAGCTAAGTTGCATGGACAGACAATTCGTTCTCAAATCTGAGATCCTCTCTCGGTATTTAGTAGGCAATGCATAAAAGGTCAAGAAAAGAGAGATTTTTCCAAGCACAATTGAAGAATTAAATGAAAAGACAACTAATCACTAATTTCACATGCCTAACACTGGATCAAGCAATGACAAAGAATGGCTCTTGATAAAGATATATCATGACACCATAGACTTCTCATCATCCAGATAATTCCAGTTTGGCTGTCATTTCTTTATCCTCATCAAGTATCTACTTGAGGGCCACCAATTTCTATATAGAGCACTACTCAACAACATTTCTATCTATATTTCTCTCAATCTTCAACTCATCCCCCAAATTAGAGCATAAATCCATTCAAGCTACGTATAAAAGGATGCTACCAATTACCAGCTTAAGTTTTATATGAATCGGCAATGATCCTGCAATTTTTACATTAACATCATACTAAGAGTTCTCCTGTTCGAGGCTCCATTTACTCGTATACTTCCCCATCAAAGTCAATTTCCAATTCCATGCTTTTCCGCTTGGACAATTCTTACAATACTGAGATCATAACAATGAGTTGTCCCACCTTAAAAGATGGCTATCTGCCAAAGAACTCAATCCGCAAATCGACTATACATTACAAAAAAAATGCATTAACATCATTCACAGAACCGAGAATTGCATTGCATCCTCCCATCCATCCTATAGTTGGCATAAAGATTCAATTATAACTCAAAACTCGCGCCACGAACAGTTGATCACCCAAATTACATAACAAAAGGAGCAACGAACAGATATGAACCCACTCACATGCCAATAATCTCTGTCAATCGTGAGCAACTTGGTGAGGGCATAAGTACCGGCGGCCAACACGATCATCCCATTGATGCTCCGATCTATCCACCTCTCCATCTCTTCGTTTCCGTCCTTCTCGACTCCGCTCGAAGACGGCGAAGCGCCCGAAGACGACGACGAAGAGAACCCATCGAACGAAAACTGCCCTTCGCTCGTCGCGAACCCACCCACTTGGCTCACCAGCTCGGGCCCCTCCCCTTCCCTCTCCAGGCTCACCGCCAAGCCCTCTTGCTGGTCCGTGCTGTCTTCGCTCTGCACCGGGATGACGTCGAGCTCCTCGGCGACCGAGCTGGCGACGAGCCTCGAGTTGCCGAGCCGCGGCCTGCTCCGCGGGAAAGGCGGGAACTTTGCGAGCTTGGCGGGGGAGAGGGGCGGAGGGTGAAGTGGGTTTGGGCCTATTTTCGGGAGAGGGAGGAGGCTTCGCGGTGAGATGGAAGCCATGGACGGTGGCGGGTCGCTGAGTTGGGAGAGAGAGAGAGACCCGAGTTGAAGCGAACTATCGACTCCCTCAGTTCTGCGTTCTTCTCCAAGTTTTGGATATGGAGATACAGTGGGGATTATATATGTGTGGTCAAAATTCTTTTTGCACGCAGTGGGTATGGGTTTACTGCGGTCAGGTCGGCAGCCTCTTGTGCTGTTTCGTGGTTGAGATGAGGCATACGTTGAGTTGAATTGGTGAAATCAAGGAAAGTCAAAGTTTTGATACGAGTGGTGATTGGGTTTCAGGAGGTGGTATATGGTACACTGGAGTTAGGCTGGGATGCAGAGTAGCTTTTGCCGTGTGGTCGACAGAGTCCACCTCAGCAAATGCGGTAGATTCTGAGATTCAGACAATGAGCAGAACAATGAAGAAAGAACCGGAAGCTGACCTTAACTGTGTAATTTAGCCTTGATTATGATGGTGGGTGGGAACAAGGAAATTCAGGAACGATAGAGATTGACTGACCTAATAATTTGGTGGGCAGTGAGTGATTCTGCACGGAGAGATTCTTCTCCAACTTTGAGAGGAAAGAAACAACCGTGGCTTTGTAAAATCCAAGGATTCTACCAATGAGAGCCTGACATCTCTAGCCTCACCACCACAAGTTGCATTGTCGTGTGGACCCACATGAAAAGAACTGCTCCCACAAATTTCTGTGGGCGAGAAAGATTGCATCCCAAAAATCTCCTCATCCCTACAGATTTTCTGCTATTTTTCCCACTTTTTATTTATTTATTTATGTTAGCCATTCAAATTTCTGAGGCCAGATATTGGCAGGGATGGATCATTTGTTTGGATTGCATTGGAAGACTTGTGTATCATCTCATCTCTCTTCCGGCTTCAGCTGAAGCCTGACCCGCTTCATGTCACTGTCTAGTGACCATAATAAACCAAATGATGGGGATGTGTTCTGATTCCATCTTCTAACAAGTTGAACTGAGAAAAACCTAAAATTTTCAGAAAAGTATGGTAATCTGTATCTACATCCACCTTGCTTTCTTCCAGCTACCGGGAATTCAAAGGACGGGTCAGCGCAAGAAGATGTGTCTTATTGTATCTGGATAACATCCAGTGCATAGGAAATATTAGGAAGAGCACGATATGTCCTTTTTCCGTAACCGATTTTTCCACTGGTAACATGAGATCGAAAACTTAGAAAGTACGACATTGTGAGCTGATGGCCACATCTTATAAGATGAAGAGTGATAATGATGTCTAGATGAATGGAGAATGTTCTAGAATTTCGATATAATTCAACCGTAGCAATTGCCCCAGAGAATGATGGCCAAAAGGGTTCCAAGTCATGTCTGATATAAAACCAGGCAAAAATTTGCATCCTCGTATATGAACAATTCCATTCCTTGGTTATAAAAACAAGCAGATTAACTCTCACTAGGGACTACGAGGCGATCTTGGCCTTCTACTAGCTTAGCAGATCGAATAACATCTCCTGTTTTAATCTGTGAAAGGATATCTCTCCCTGTAGTTGCGTAGCTGCCAAACAGAGAGCCTTGTTAGACAAGGAAAGAATGGCTGTCCATATTAAAAACTTTCAGGTCCGCATTACAAGGAAAAAGCTCAAAGGATTAAATACCTACCCGAAAACAGAAAATTGCCCTTCGTCAAAAGATATACCTCCGAGGCCGGACTACACCACCAAAATGTAAACATGTAAGGACACGTACTCATTTTATAATCATTGAGTTCCAATTGAATATCGCTCAACTCTACTCACATTTCTTTTATCATATAAATAGAAGAAAAACTGATAAGGCGAAGAGTATTCATCGGAGTCAGCACTGTGTGCCATTGCAACTGCCCCGTAAACAGACATGGGAAGAACTGGCAATTCACCATCCTTCAATGCCACCAAGAAATATTCTTGTCAGTTTTAACAAACATAAAATAAGAAGGAAGAAGAGATGTTGTTACCTGTATACTTAATGTGGTCCTGTACAATGGTTCGAATTGCCCAGATGGCATTATCTCTAAAGGAACTCTAAAGCCAGCGCTCTTATCAATGCCACTATCTGCGAGAACAGCTTGGTTGGCACAACTGAGCTTTGCCCCATCATATGCTCCATCAACTACCTACAGATTTCGACGCAATTGTGAGTCTTCCAATGGGATGTTGGTGCTTACTGTTAAGAGTTTCGCCTTAATCGCAGATATGAAACATTAGTACTCCCTGTGGAAAGAAAAATGTGGCTTATTGAACATATTAGTTAGTTCAACGCCTATGAATGACAAATGAGAAATCTACACATATCATTGATTTTGAATCAGCCATCCTGATGCCATTATAGAAGCGTTGACTAGTAAAACTCAAGACTTGAAGGCCATGGACAAAGCAAACTCATATAAGCCTTCTGGATTCTGCCTCAAAAGCTGAAACAATGGATAGAATATCCAAATGGCTGACCACTAACCTTTTCTTTTACCCCCGTGGGAAATCCAAGAATAACAAAGCTATCACAAATTAAGGGGGATGCTAGTTTACTTCACCTAACTTTAAGTTTTGTCCAACGTGGCGTTTTTTCCATGATGCTAATCTTAACCATGTTTTCACTGTTAAATGTGAGGAAACATCTTCGGCATGCCACTTTCTTCACTTTTTTTTTTTTTACCATATTTTCATTTCATTTATCCCCTATAAAACTAAGCAAGTGTATGCGGAGACAAAATAAAACCAACCAAACACTAAAACAAGTAAAGCACATATATGAACTTTTGCTTCTTTGTATGCCACATCCTGATCGGTGCATAACACGTCAAACATCAACTAAAGTAGACAATTGTTTCCAGAGGTTAAAAGAGAAGTTCGAGTACCTTACCATTTTTGCGAAATTTCCTGCAGTCAATGGCGCTGAGTATCCATCAATAACCATCTGCATAAACCATTTCATGTACAGCAGTCAGAGCCAAAACATGTGGAAACTCAAGTGATGAGAATCTAAGTTGATGCTGGCTGCACTAGTTGGAGCGCCTGAAAAAACATGAGCAGTGCTCTGTAAATCGAGAACTCCATGCGTTCATAGAATCCACCCAGTAGTAATCTATTGACAAAACTGATATTAATCCTCAAATCATCTGCACCCAGAAAACTGTACGGCTGGCTAGCCAAGCACATGACAGTCCAAGTGCACAAGCACCGACAGATGCATTCTTCTTTCTTACGGTCCTCCTTCTTGTAAATCTATGTTTTAGTTTCAGACAGTGGTACCTTCAGTGAAGCATGGTGGAAGGTGATCACCCAAAAGGAAGCATATCGGACAAACATATATAGTCAGGAAGACTTCCTACTAGACCCAGTATCCCCACATTGTTTGGTTAGTCTAAGTCTGACCATCACACAGCATGCTGTCATTTGTGGTGAACACTTAGATGAATGGCTCCGGATATTCTTCCATGCTGAGAAGTGAGAATCCACAGCAGCTGTGACCTGAGATTCTTCAATTTTCCTCTAGCTCTATAGAATGATGATTAAGCACCAAATTTGTTGCTAATAAGACACCAGAAAGGTGAGAAATGTTAACCGCGAAGCTTTTTATCGCTAATTTGTTTGGAATATGGGGAAGAGTCCAAACTGCTCCAAGAATTTTGGGATAAAATTTAAAAGAAATTAGATATCCTCAATTACTTTAGCAGTGAAAGGGATTTGGTTGCAGTTTCTCAATGTTAGATTCTGCTCACAGGGCATTATTCCTGTCGACTAATTTATGTTGAACTGTGGATACCTGAATCGTGGCAGTCTTTCTTGGTTCACCACCAACTTCAGGTGAAAATGCTGTTCCATCCCCTTTCTCGATTGTAAGTTCAACAGTCGCTCTTCCCGTCAGTCTACAAGTGGTAGAACTCAGTGTGCAGTTTGTTGAAGTAATAAACATCAATGGGAACAGTAGATAATTATACTTAGGAAGTCTGGCATGTCAATGGATGGTTTTCACATCACAGAGCAGTTGTGTAAATAGGAATTAGATAATGGCATGCAATTGTCATCAAGAAATTATGCAACCCTAACTAGTATATGAAATTAGGTCAAGTAAAAAGACCATCGTATGATCGTCGAGTTACAATGAAATTGACCTGCAACAAAATTTTTAAAAAAGATGTTATCTTGCCCAATATATTAATCCACCAATTCAGACAGGAAAAAGAACTGCAAAAAAGATCCTGAGGCAGCCAAAAAGTTCAATTTAACAAAATATCATGACAGGCATTCCTACTTCCTGATTGACCTGTTCATATTTCACAAGTCAATCTCATGCCAGATATATTACACCCAGAAGGCCATTAACGTCAACAAGTATTCATGAAACGGGCAAATGCTATTACTTGATAATATCTGTTTGTGTTATATTCACATAAGAATCTCAATTGTAAGAAAACAAATAGTGATTCACCATTTCTCAAAAGGACTGACCTAGGATATTTCAAGTATTGCTCTGGCAACAGAAAAGACAATCCAGGGGCCTGTTGCAAATAAGTTCAGAATCTGGCCATTGTTACATTCTCTTGTAAGATGAATGGCAAGAAAGTGCAAGAGTCGAAAGTCTGCTGATGCGAGAAGGGCTAGCAATATAAAGCATAACTACTACCTGCAACAGTTCGATTTCTGCAACAGTATCCAATGATGATGCAAGGTCTACAGATACTTTATCAGGGTCCTTATCATTGATATATTGAAGGAGCTCTTGCAATCCACCCTGAGAAAAGGAAGAAACTTTGGATCATTTTGGTAGATCTGGTAAAGGAAAAAACGTACAGCCAAATAAGATCGAGAAAATTTTGATGCAGCATTGTATCGCTAATACTGACAGGTACCTAGGACGAGATTATATAGTTTTTGCTTGGGTGTCAGAAGAAAAGGTTTGCACTCTCCTCTACCGTCCATACTAGGTTGAGTTATCGTTGTCCAACAGTTTTTGACAGCAATTATGTAGCAAAGTAGCAGCAAAGAGGACTGGAAAGAATTTTGAGAGGATTTGGCACAATTCAGGGGTCTCTTTTTCTGTTCTGCTAATCCACAGGGGTTTATCACTTAGGGGAGTCCAGAATCCATACGTCCTATTTCTATCTTGGTATTCATGTAATCCACATCAAGTTAAAAAACAACGGAGCTTACATATTCTCGAGTACCTTCCCATACCTTCCCATCAATGAGAGATGCATACAGCAAGGAACCTTTGTCTCTCAGCTCTGCTGGTATACTGGCCAAAATAGAATCTTTCTCATCCTTTGCTATCTAAGATAGGGGAACATTAATTAGACTTTGGAGAGGCTATCGTACGAGTCACAAGGAGAATATTCCAGAAGTAAAAGTAATACAAACTGATGGTAAACGAGAAAACAAACAAGACCTGAACGGTATGGCAGATTTACCAACTGAAACTAGTTCATGCAATTCTCTAGTATATTTTTGCACAAGATAGGCCAGGTTTGGGTAGAGATGGGTGTTTCTTGATAACATAGCTTCCGAGAATGAATATCATTTGGACATCCAACTCCTATGCAGTGCACCGCATCAGATAAAAGAGGAAAAGATACCGGTACCTTAAGGGCTTTCTTGACATTACCCTCCATGGTTCCATATGGCTTTCTCTGTGGTATTCTCAGTAAGTACGAGATGTCCTCCAACGATTCCTATAAGCAAATTAAGATAGTCTTTACTAATTTGGTGAGAGAGGATCCAAAGACAAACAGAATCGTGACTAATGACCTGTATAGCCTTCATATTTGTGTTCGCAGGGATAGCTCTCCTCAAAGCAAGTTCCCCGGTTCTGGGGACTTTGGTGTCAGGAGAATAGAGAACAGCATTGGCTGGAGCGATAGACCAATAATCCCAACCCAATGAAGTAATTGGAGATGCGATATGAACGAAAATAAGGGCTGTAGCGACGAAACTCTCGAGTTTCTTAAATGCATGTCCATGATCTGATAGGAAGAAGTTGAAAGGAGAGCCTTTATGCTCCAATTTATCCTGCGTGACTGAAACCCCATTTCATAGAGCAGGAAACACTTACGAGAGAAAGAACATGCACGTAATCTTGTGCAGAAACTTAACTATATCATTACTCAATAAGATAGCTAGCATTCTCAAAAAAGAGGTCGATCACAGCTTATTTTCCTTGACTTAATCATCAGGAGCAAAATTGCAGCTCTAAGAAAATGTAATCTTCCTTCCCCAATTCCAATGGAAACAAAGTCAACCTTTTATTTTTAGCCACAACCAGTGAGGCAACTCTTCTTTAATCCACACATTTCCTTAAATACTTCATCCACTCTATCATAACTGCACGCAGGGTCATCCCTATTTCTTCATGAAACTCAGCATGCTCGTTTTAGGTGATTTCTCTCCCAGATAAGGCCATTACGCAAAATTTGGCGAAATGAGCTCACCATGTCCATTAAAGTACAGAGCCATCAAGAAGAGCAATTTGCTAGTTGATGAGCATATACCACCAAGACAGTAAGATTATGGAAACCCATCAGCCAGTATCACCATAAAAGAAAACTAAATAATTCAAAACCGACCTGTGCGCTGTCGTTAGAAGAACTGCAGTAGATCTTGAAACTGCCCGAATCGGCACCATTTTTGGTGTGCTTTGCATGGATCACCGGAAACGCAAAATGGGTGTTGATCAGAGTTTGCTTTGCAGAATTGGAGAGAAAGTTAAGAGAGGGTTTGAAAGTGTAAGAGAAGAACGGAGATGAGGATAAAGGGGAAGCCATGGATGGGCGTTGGTAGCTGGTGGAGAGGGGCCTTTTGGCGCGCCTGAATCCTATCTCTATCTTTCTAGCAATTTCATTCGGTTTCGGTTTTTTTTTCTAGTTTTTCTTTTGTCGAATTTTCTCTTGTTAGTATTTAGTTTTTGGATTAATACCGCGAAAAACTCTAAACCTGTACATATGTGATAAATTTATCCCCAAACTAATCTTTTGACATCCAAAAACCCTAAAGTGGTACATTGATGATAAATTTACCCCAAACTAATTTTTTGACCACCAAAAATCTCAAACTGACCACGAAAAATCATAAACGGATAAGCTTGTGACAAATAGAGGGGTAAAATCATAAATTGGTATACCCGTCAACTGCCACGTGTCATCCCACTCAACAATTTGATTGTAAAATTTAATGAAAATTAACAGAGCGTAAATTTGTCGCAAGTTTACCGATTTGGGGTTTGTCGTGATATAAACCCTTAATTTTTCAAATGTTTTATGTGCTGTAACATGGCTTCGTGACATCCTTATTTTTAACTGTTCGAATTTCTATGACATGTATAACCCACACCCTCTTAATTTCTCAGTAGATCGGTTTGAAGAAATCACTAAACTCCTTGACCAATAATCAATATATATGTTTAGGAAAATTTTAAATAGAGGCATGAAATGGCGGGCCGTTTTTCTTAACACATGGTCTGACTAAATTCTATCTTAAATAAGGGCCTAAAATGACCAGTTTAGTCTCAAAATAAGAGCCCGAGATCAACAAACAGTCAAATCTTCCCCAGCCGATGGCTAGAGGAGAGGTAATTTGGTCCTAAATTTTCTGCTTTGACCTAAATTGAAGAAGGTTGAAATTGAAGTTAGAGTTCTTCGATGATAAATAGTGACCGGTCAGATGCCACACTTCACCCGCCCGCCCCCAGCTCTTCGCCTCCATGGCCAACGCTAGGGGTGAGCACAGGTCGGTTCGGTTCTCGGTTCTAGAGAGGGAGGTTCCGATTCTTAGTTCCATTTTTTTAGGAACCGCCAAAACTGAAATCGGGAACCGGAATCGAAACCGAGAACCGGAATCGAGAATAGAACCGAGAATCAAGAGCCCTAAATCTAAATCCATAATTTTCTTACTACTCCTCACTTTTTACTTCTTAGCTCTCAAATTCTCATCTCCGTCCGCATGCTCATTGCTGTGATTAACTTGTCATGTAAAACATTTTCTAAGGTTTTGTTTAGACCTTTGATTTATTGTGGTTTTCAAGTGCCCACCATTCACTTTGCTTAACTTTGTTATGTTTGGGTATCCATTGTCATGTATCTATGCCAAGTTTTTGTTCTTTTGTGAGGTCGATTATTTTCGTCATTTACTCTTTCAAAAAAATATCTTAAGTTTGATGATTGCATAGTTAGAACCATAGTGATAATGGATGGTGGAAGGAGAAAAGAAAAAGTTGTAGTTACAGTTGCAAATAATCGATACGCGACAGTTCAATTTTAAATTTAAAACTATTATTAAGTTATCAACTACGATTGTAGTTTCTTTTTATTTTAGTTGGTCAGAATTTGGAACAAATTTTCATGGATGTTTGAGGACCAAAAGCTAATCTTTCTTTCCCTTTTCCTGGTTCCCATTTTGTTTGTGGTCTTGGATATGGATATTGTCTTAATCGACATGCTAATCCCTTGTGAATTATGTTGCGTATCGATTCACGCAATGACTTATCATGTTAATTGTATTTATTTGAATCGTAATACTAGGAAAACTAGTCTTTTTGTATTCTCTTTGGTGAATGATAAGCTTTTTCGGTATTGTTGTGTTCATTCTTGTTTTGTTTAATTAAAAATGAAACCAAAAAAACTTGTTGGACCCTAAAACCTATGACAAGATAGGTTCCAGATTCCAGATTCCGACGGATAGGTTTTGAGTTTCAAAAAATAAGGAACCTGTACCCGACGGTAGGTTCTAGGTTTCATGTAGAACCTGTAAGAAATCTGGAACCGCTTACTCCTAGCCAACGCTATCACCGACGTCACCCAGACTTGATCCGTCCTCAAGACTTTCGACGACTGCCATGACCATGAGGCCGTTGACAATGCCCGATCGAAGCTGGCCGAGATCAAGTCCACCAGACCTATAATTTGGGCTCAATTGGTGAGTGATCTTAGAGAGAAGGAGTAGTTTGCGACCCTCGCTAAAATCTGAGAATAGAAAAAATTGGGAATTTGGAGCACGAACTCTACCTACAATTTGGGTCAAAGCTAGGAACTTTCGGATATCATGGCCCTTGCTCAAGTCACTGGTCAACGAAGATTTGGCCGTCTAGGCGAACTCAAGCCCTTATTTGAGCTAAGTTGATCACTTCATATCCTTATTTGAAGTTTTCCCTACTTGCCTTTTGTTCTCTAGGAGCAAAATTTTGAATGATTTAACCGGTCTGTGTGAGAAGTTATCGTGACTAGCGGAAGACTCAAGGTGCATTTTTTAGGGGGGCCCTGGATAAAGCTCAATGAAAATCCAGACCGGCCCTGGTGGGCTTGAGCCGGCCGGCTCGGTCCTACGAATTCGTACATAAAATCTTTTCTACGGATGGACTTGGGTCAGCAATTTAGGCCCAATGATCAACTCCATTTGATATTACTGAAGGGCGCAAACAAAATAAAAGGAAAATATGGGTATCGATTTAACAATTAGGGGGAATTGAAGGGGAGGAAATGATCTTTTATCCCTGGCTTTAGTCTTGGTCCAAGACTAAAGATGAAAAGATGGGCGGATCCGAAGATCAATTCAGACGGGGTCCGAATGAAAACGTTAAATCACGAGGCCCGACTCGACTCCAACTCGACTCGATTGGGCACGAGCCAAGCTCGTCCGCCCCCGAAATGCTTTGATCGGGAAGGTGGAGAAGGGGGAGGAAAATGTCGAATCTTCTTTTGCGCGCACTAAATAATAGAACCGCCATTTAAGCAAATGTATTTACGCGAAAAAAGGCACTAAAATACTAAAATCAACAGGGAAAGTTATTTGAAACTGAATATACCAAAAGTAAAATAAAATAAATGAACTTCCATTTTAACCTCTTTTTTTTTAATTGGTATTGTCCATTTTAACTTTACAAAAGTCGAATGCGATGTTTTTATTTTTTTTTTGTTTGCGCTTTGCTTTTCACCTTTTTCGCTACGCGCTTGAAGACTTTACATTTGTCCGTCCACCTTCTTTTATAGCACTTTCACTTTCTGTTCCACTTCCTTTTCGGAACGAGAAAGCAAATGTGAAGGGGACATGATAATTGATCCTTCGCATTGGGATATCTTTATACGTATGAATGGGTATAGCCTCTTGTTGTACAAAACCTGAGATTTATCGACCACTTTTAGCTTGCAACAACTTGTACAATGTTTTTTCGCAAGGGCAATACTTCCCCTAAAAAAAAAGAAAATAATAAGGATGGACTAATCGATATCGTGGTAACTCAACATTTCACGTGAAAATACTTGCTTCGCGACTAAAGTTTCGCGATACTGACTCGACAACAACCCACGAAAGGTGCATCTACCGGCATCAGCTTCTGTCGAATCACTCATAAAGTGTCGGCAAACCTAGGTTCTTTGTGAATAAACCGAGTAGAATGGCTTAATCACAAAGAACCTAGGTTTTGCACACCCATGCACAATGCCTTTCATGCAAGCATTCGATTTTGGCAATAATCTTGCATTTGTAGGACCTTGAATCCGCATAAACATCTAGAAACTTTGCGAAACCGTCTCAGTGACACGAGATAATGAATATGTACAATATCAAGTCTTCACCGTATCTTCTTGCCATCAATTACTAATTATTTCGATGGCCATAATTTACCTAACTCTATTTTTTTACTTATACGGTGCTCAAAGCAAACGCATCTGGTTTGACTTCGCCTCCCCGGACACTTTGCCCAAATCCCAAAAACCCCGTACCCAAAAAAGAAAATGTTTTTTATTTTTCGATTTCCCTAAACATTCTTCTTTTCTCTCTCAATATATATCTTTATTTCTTCCAAAAGAACGATTATAAATTTTATAACCATAATAAAATAGTAAAAACTATAGGTATACCTCCCCCCTTCAACTTCATCGCCAGTCCAAACGGACCTCGCCGAGGCCCACAACGTGCTCGCTGGGCTTGGCGAACGACACGATGTGACTGCTCATCATGAAGGCCGTGACCCGCTCCGACACCAGGATGTCGTCCATCCTCAGCTCCTGCAGCCGCCGCACGTACTCCGCCGCGTGCATCACGTCCCACACCACCCCGACCCCGCCGGGCTTCAGCACCCGCACCAGCTCCCCCACCACCCGCATCCTCTCCGCCGCCGCCTCCGCCGTCCGGTGGCCGTGCTCCTTCCCCACCGTGTGCACGAACGCCGCCGACACCACCACGTCGAAGTAGTTGTCCGGGAACGGCAGCCGCCTCGCGTCTCCCTCCCGGCACGTCACGTACTCTTGCACACCTAGCGATATAACATAAGAGAACATGTTCCCGTGAGAAAACTAATGAACTCAGATTTGAAAATCTAGATGTTAATCCATAGATCAGATGAGAAGCAAACGTACGTGTTCATCCACCATGAACGAGCAGATGCGAAGTTATTTGTACGGGGAGTTGATTTCAACTTTTCATATGAGAATCTGAGAAGACGATAAAGGAGAGAAATTACCTTCCATGTTTGCGGTCCTTAGAGTAGAGAGAGCGGTCCTCTTGCACTGGGCCAGCCCCACGACCCGGCCCGAGCTGCCGGTCTTCTTGAGCTGCGTCGCCACCGCATTCAGCAGGATCCCCCGGCCGCACCCGAGGTCGAGCGCGTTCCTCACCGTCGACCAGTCGCTGACCGCGCCGACGATCCGCTGGGCCATGTCGTGGTGCAACGGCAGCGCCGAGTAGAAGAAGTTCCCGGCGGCGTAGAACAGGCAGACCGCCGACAGCGCCGTCACGCACCCCGCGAAGCCGGCGGCGAACCGGGCCCACGCGGCGGAGGACAGGAGGGTCGCCTCGAAATAGGCGCAGATGGGGTCGAAGTAGAGGAGGAAGAGGACGGACATGGAGGAGAAGAAGACGGCGTGGAGCAGGAGGAAGAGCAGGGTCTGCCACTGGTCCATGCCGTATATCCCGTAGATCTGCGACCAATCCCTGTTTGTCGATTGCTTCCCCATTCCTTATTCTTATGTATTGTGGGTAATTTTGACTGTTGGGTAGTGATCGATTTGCAAGAGGATGGTAAGATTTGGCCAAAGTTAGGTGCTTTTGAGCGAGGCTTTGTGTAAATTGTGAGCGACTGCTGGGGTTGAAAGGGAAAGACTTTGGGTTTGGTTTGGTTCCTCCAAATTCAACCTGCAAAGTTATGAAATTTCAGTTCAGACAGTGACAGCTATCGATTTGGGAGTGATCTACCGGGTTGGAAAGTGTAAAGCGAGCTTATCAAACTGAAGTGAAATCGCAAAACAGGAAGAGTTCAGATTCGGTGTGGCAGGCAAACATCATCAATGCATTTGATGGAGGGAGGGAGGGAGAGAGGGAGACTGACCAGACGATGGTTGAAACTTCTTTGGCAGGAGACAAACAGAGGCCAATCCCAGAGAGCGTGGAGCCCTTGTACTTTCGCTATTCACAGTGATTCACAGATCTTGGAAACGGCGAAACAGAGCCACGGATCCATGAACCCGAGATTGATTGGTTTTTTCCTGGAGATCCCAACACGAAAAGCGGGTGAGAAGATCAAGACGAAAGAACCAAATTGCAGCACAGTACCGCTAAAAAGCCTATTCTCTGCAAACCAGAGACTCATATATACGTGATATAGAGAGAGAGAGAGAGAGAGAGAGAGAGATAGAGAGATGTAGTAGGCCTGCAAGTGTCAGGGGTGCAAATGATAAATTCGCGATAAAGAATCCATTTTTCCTGTGCGGGGCTTTAAATTTTCATACCTTACACTGAAATTCTGTCTGTCTCTCTCTCTTTCTCTGTCTCTCGAGCACTCGCAGTGGCTGAATTTTAGGTACGGCGGCAAGTGGAATGATACCATGAAAGAGCGCAAGAACGAGTTAGTTGCGGCAAAGGCCGGTTCACCCGGACGCAGCAGAGCCGAGCCAACAGCGCGGTCTTGTTGAATGTTTCTTCGATTTGGTCCCCTTTTCTTACAGGAGATTTCTACGTGGGTTTGGCATAGATTTTTGAAATCTCTGTTCACCGCAACGATGGCTAATCAAAGCCAAGCGAAGTTGAAGGCATCGGCGGTTACCGTCTGCCCAAAATCTATGCCTTAAATTCTGTCTCCATTGATGAAGATCACGTTGCGCTAATGACCCATTAAAACGTATTTGGAAGTATGGAGATGAACACTGCATACGTGTTTTGTCTATGTAGATTGGTCATTTGGTTCTGTGATGCTGTGCTTTGATGCCTAAATTGATATCCACGTGATATTGATTATTTTATTCAGCAGAGTTGGTGGTATGAGCGGGAAATAAGGTACCCAAAGAATTTCAGTTGCGTAGGTGAAATATTGAAATGAAATTGAAAACCAAATGGACTATAGTATGATATTTCCATTGACATAAAGGTTGTGAGTGAGCGTAAGATCTCGTGGCCTCCACATAGGGAGTGATATCGAACCAAGAGACCACGTGGACAACGGATGGGGATAATTGTATCGACCGGCTTCCGGGAAATGCCCCTTCGCGGGATGAGTCTCTCGCCAGGGGACAAGCAAATTGTTAGACCTCGTTTGTGTATGTAACGGTATTATGCGGTATTCGTTGCATTCATAAATAAAATACGTGCTCTATGTGTTCGTACCGTCATCTCGGTTACGACGAGATTGTTTAGTTCCTGTGTCATGTGAATCGGAATGGAGTGGCATTGATTAGTGATTTATGCATTATTAGCTAAGCGGAGCTATGCCTATTTACGACTGATTGTGCATGAATGAACTTATGATTTATTGATACAATGAGGTAAGAGAATATCTTCCCATTATAATTCTCGAGAACTCATTTACAGCTCACTCTTTTCTTATATTTCTAAGGTTAGACGGGAGCTAGAGTTAGGCATTTCGTCGGTAGACTATGACAGATCATTACACGATGATTTTGGAGGACTTAACTTTCCAGAGTTGTGGATTAGGTTGTACTTCGGGAGTAGTTGCTGTAATTCTTGTTGGGTTGCTCGTGTTAAGCCTTCACTTTTGAAATGTTCTCATCCTAAGTTGACACGAGACCAATCAAGTCCGAAGACAAAAACGTTTCATGCAATTTCAACAGCTTTCAATGGACCGTCCATCCCCTAGCTTCATAGCTTGGAAAGATATTGGGCTCCATGAAATTTATGGCAAAGTAATGAGCCCGTCCTATTAGGTACCATCTTGAATGAACGACCCCCCCATGTGGCATCGAAAATGACGTATTTCAATGCGAATTGGACACCCCGCCTTCACTAAAATTTACCATTATGAAGATTCGATTCTTCCTACCCTTTTTCCCCCCAGGGTTGTCTCTTCCTTTGAACTGCGACAGAGAACATAAAAATCGAGGCATATGCCGTGAATTTCAAGCTAGAAACGTAGCACAAAGGAAGAAAAGGGGTCACGCCTTGAAGAACAATGTCGGATTTGACCGCTCCTTTCTTATCTTTCCACCTTTAATTAATCACCGCAAATCAAGGAGACTGGGGGCCAGGACCATGCCGTACAAAGGGATCATCTAAGAATTGACCAATATGAGAAGTTCGCCTTGATATATATGTCGATTATTTTTGGCCGAACACACTCGATTCTCGCAAACAAAAAAACCCAACAATTTCCATCACTAGCTTTAGGCTCGCCATTTTCCTTCTTATGGACCCACCCGCAATGTTTCTTTTTAATGCTCGCCCTTGTCCATACGCTCTTGGATGGTCTTTGCTTTGTGGGGTTCAAAGAAATGGGGCTGCTAAATTACAAATCAAAAGCCTTTTGCCATGGAAAATTTGAAGTCAATTTGCACCAAATCCGACGCACATATGGACATGGAAAACCGTAATCTCGGATTTTTCTTTTTATTTTAGGAATAATGATACAAATAGCTCATGAAGTTAAATTAAATATGCAATGTGATCCATGAATTTTTAATTTGTTCAATATGGTCCCTTCCCGAAGACCATATTGAGCAAATTAAAAGTTCATGAATTACATTGCCCGTTGGGTAAAAGTTCATGGATCACATTGAACAAATTCAAAGTTCATGAACCACATTACATATCGAGTCAAAATTCATGTATTATTTATGTCATTTTTCCTTTATTTTATTTTCAAAATGTTAAACTAATCGAAATTAAAAAGAGAGTCCAAACGAAGGAGAACGCGGGAATGGGTATTGGAAGTGGTGGCCGGTTGTATGGTGTGGGAAGCACCAACTCTGCCGCTTTTGTTGATGTGCCCAAAGCTCCGTCAGCTGAATTTCAGATGATGCAACGATTTTTTTTTTTTAAAGTATATTTTTTGTGGGAATTTAGTGCGACCTCAATATGTTATTGATGTCAATTCGGGCGACCCGATACACTAAAATGGCCCCGTACAAATTCGAATTAATTTTCTAATGATTTTAAACAGCACAAGCCATGCAATCACCCAAAATGCTCTTGGTAAACTTGTCTCGATCGCTCAATATAGAGGTCAATCTTTCTCTTAGGAGAAAGAGAGAGATAGATCGAAACAAAGCAAGTCGACGTAGCAATGCAAATATTGACCTCAATATTGAGCGATTAAGACAAGTTTATGAAGAACATTTTCGGTGATTGCATGGCGAAATTTGATTGAAGATGAGAGAGAGAGATTGGCGGTAGCATCCGCCGCCAAAGGCGACGAGGACGGTGATTGCCGACGTGGGTTTGTTGCTACGGCATTTATGGTGATTATGGAATTGGTTTGTTTTTCCTTTCTTTCTAATGTGCTTTTTAAGCAAGGCATTTGATCCCATGGCCAGATGGTTTGTCTTGAAATGCAAGGTTGAGATTTCAAAAGGAAAAATAATATACAAAGTGATGGATAATTGTTCAAAGAGTCCTAAACCTATTATACAACAGCTAATTCAGTCAAAAACCTTTCAATTGGTCGATTTAGTTTTAAACATTTTGATGATTTATCAATTTAGTCGTGAATCTTTTGATGATTTGAAAATGTAGTTCTTCTGGCCAAATTACTGACGTGGACGTTAGCTGGATGCCGAGCATCCTAAGTGGTGTGGCAGTCGCTAATATGGACAATTTCGCAATTTTTAAAAATTGCAGAATTATTCATTTTTTTCTTTTTTCTTTTTTCCTTTTGCCCGTGGGCAATACTCAATTTATGACCGATAATCGACCACAGCAGAGAGCCAGCAAGGGCGTCACGGCCTTCGCCAGATCTGGCAAGGGCTCGACCCTTGCCCAGGCCGCACGGGTCGAGCCCTTGTGTGTGGCTGGTCATTGGCCATGGCCGAGTACCGGCTACAGGCGAGTACCAACTACATGCAAAAGGAAAAAAAGGAAATAAGAAAGAGTAAAAAGGAAAAATTCATATAATTTTTTTAAAAAAATACAAAAATTGTTCGCGTTAGCATTGGTCACGCCACATAGACCAGCTAGCATTCACGTCAATGATCTCTGGCCAAAGCCGAAAGGATTACAGTGTCAAATTATCAAAAGGTTTATGACTAAATTGATAAATCGACTAAATTGGCACAATTGAAAGGTTTAAGACTAAATTGGCAAATCGTCAAAAGGTTTAGAACTAAATTGGTACAATTGAAAGGTTTAGGATTGAATGGGCCATCTTACAATAAGTTTATGACTTTTTGAATAATTTTCCTAACAAAGTGAAGTTGTTTTGAGACTGTTTCGATGGCTTTGGGTACTTCCATTATTTATATCCGTTTCATTGGGATTTAATCAACAATGAAATACCTTTCATCAAAAGTTATTCTTCTATTTTTTTTTATATGAGGAGACAAGTTCTATGGCTATTCCGGACAAGAATTATGTCAAGCCAAGCATAAGATAACATACACATATGCTTTGGTAGAATTTAATTAACATCAAAATATAGAAACTTTTGACTGAATTTAATCAACAACAGAGTACAATGACATACAGATACAACGCTAGAATGTAATTGATAATGAAGATTCGAAAGTTGCAACTAAAATACACGTCGGAATTTAATCGATGATGAGATATCTAGAAACTACCGTACAGTACAAGAAGTAAAAGATAATAATGCACAAGTACTAGTATTTATAGTATTTAAAGCATAGCTGTTCACAAACAGTTCTTTAGCGGTTCCAACTGTACTTCCGTGGTTTTAGGCTCCATGTCTTCACGATCCTTGATTCTATGTTTGCATCTCGCCACACTGCCTTGTTTTAGTGCAGGTGCTCCTCCAAAATCGCATTCTAACTCTCCGTGTTTATCCATCACTATAGTGACATGCACTTAAGTCGTTATTCACACTTCAATCACGATCTGACATGTTATGTTGTCTTATCCACTTTACCCTTAGGCAATTACAAATTCGAATGTTATTATATCTCAACTCTGCGCCTATTTTATTTTCCTAAATAGTTAATCGTCGATCGATTTCTCATCTTATTAACGATATATTTAATCAATATGTTTCCTTTTTAGACATTTGATTAATTTTACCATGATAATCGTCAACCGGCCGCTACTGTATCTCGATAGCATGATCATAATATTCAATAAGTATGGCCATTGATAGAGACTCCTGTGATCAACAACTAGTTAATAGGCACACCTCGACTGATCCCAAATTATATGTTTGCTTGAATCAACACTGTGTCAATTATAATGACTTAGTTAATTTTTGGTATAAACATCATCTTTTACTGTTCTGTCCGGATGCTTCTTAACGTTCGAAGACCGTCCTGCCGACACTTCATCAAAAGGACAAAGGGCTCTTAAATGCACAGACTTGCAAATGACACAGCTCTTAAAGACACGGACACAATCATCACATGTTAATCACGAGGTCGGCCTGGCTAGTTCATTAATGCCCCATTAAAGTAATTGTTCCGACCCGTTGAGTGAGATGAAGCGATATGCCCTCTTTTCAAAAAAGAATCTTTCTCATCAAAGATTAACGAATCTACATGTGTCAAGACTTGTGACGCCCTGAATTTGTTTAACTCATTTGATGCGTAGCCCATTTTGACCGGTCTCGTATCAACCCGGTAGGTACTCGCCCATTTCGATAGTACTCCTACTTAAACATCCTTAAAGATAAAAT